CAGCTGTGAATAGCATTGCAGCAGATACTTTGTTCACTGGACTCATTTCCAAAGGCTTAGTCAATAACTTATGCCTATTAGACTGCAGAAAAACCAGGGGTGAATTGCATTTTTTTGTTTAAAATGTTTATTATTTACAGGAAATGGCTTGAAATACTGTTCCAATTACAAAAGGCCTTTGTTCCTAACTCTCCATGCCTGAGAATCAATGACAAAATAAACTATGTTAAAAAAATCCCCAAAAATCAATATATACATTTTAGCATCATTGTAGATGGATGAAAAGCTACGCAAGCAAGCCGTTGCAGCCAAATGAGAAGTTTGTGGCCCTGGGTTTTAATATTAAGATTTGATTCTCCTTTCATCAGCAGGTGAGTTAAAACTAAAGCCAGTGGCCAGATCCTCAGCTGGTATAAACTGAACTCATGGTAGTTATTTTGATTTATGTTTGATGAGGCTGTGGCCCATTATCCAGTGGGTGGATGGGCTCACAAAGGGAGAGATCTGCTTTGAGGAGTTTGAATGCTTTCTGCTTCTGCCATTTCCCCTTTTTCTTCTCTAATTCCTTGATGCTTTTATGGAGGATGTGAGAGAATGACCAAAAACAGGATGGGGGTACAGTTCAGTCAAAACTACTCTTAGTGTATCATTTATGATGCATTAGTACTGTCCTATAAGGGTGCACTGATAAAGATTTTCTTGGCTGAAAGCAGTGGCTGGGTATTAACCAGCCATATCAGCTGATACCAATTTGAAAGCTTGTTTACAGGAATGCAACTTGGCAGCTTGGAGAGCAGCATCTGGCCAGTAAGTCTGAGGGGAAGGGGGAGGGGGGAGGGAAGGGGCAAGGGGGGCCAGATCGAGGCCCCCACGGTGAGGGAGGGAGTGGGGAAGGGGCATGGGTAAGCGCTGCCCAGCTAGGACAGTAAATGTAACCCCGGGGCCAGAAGAGGGATGGCTTGGGACCCCACACAGTGCAGGGTCTCAACAGTGCCCACATAGCAGCCCAGCTCCTTCCCACAGCAGATGTTGAGGCCAAAGCAGTTCCCTCTGTTCCTGGGGCCACAGGGCATGCCCTGGAGGAGGGAGAGAGAACACAGATCAGCAGCTGCAACCTGGTTGGGGGGAGTGCACATAGCTGGATCTGCTCCTCACCAAAGCCTGAGAAGCCTGCCAGGCAAGGAGGGAGGTTCAGGCTCTGAGAGGCCGTCACGAAGCAGTTGCATTGTCAGCTGAGGGTGATTGGTGTGGGGAGTGGAAATGGGGGCTAGCTCCCCAATGCTGTGCGCACCCCTGGGGGAGGCACAGGGAGCATGTGCCCCCCCCCCCATTTGTGTGCGGAGCGACGGCAGGCTGGCCACTGTGGGCTCAGGACCAGGGGCTGCACCAGCCTCTTCCTGATTGGGGTGGGGCACACTGCATTTATCAGTGACGTTATTGGCTACACTGTCCAAAAAAAAGCCTATTGCCAATTAATGTTCATTTTCCTTTTAACGGTGCCTATCTGATATGCAACCAATATATTGTACCTCTGTGGTCCTACCCTGCTCTTGCAGCCTGAGGTATTCTGATCAATGGAAGGATGACTCTGCCTTCCAGAAAATGACTCCAGGACCTAAAGAAAGCAGTAAAGCACTTAAACAGTTTGGCTGAAAATATAATGAGTTCAATCCATATGTGTCTTCAGAGACTTCCAACTAAAGTACAGTGTAGAATCAAAGTTATATCAACACATATGGAGAAGAACAGATACTTGGTTCATGGTGAAGTTTTTTGACCCAAGAATACTAATTTTCCTTCTCTAAGCAGATATGATGTCCAATTCTAATGCTCTGCCTGTATCTCTCTGCACTAGGGGAAATTGGAATGAGCTTTATTTAAGATCTGTGATGAGCTAACTAAATGAAACATGCTCCTTTCTATGTCCTTTGGCTGTGTTACATAGCTAAAGCTAAATCATTCTAATAGCCTGCCAATGCTGCTCCTAATATTCCCTAGCTGTCTCCTAGCATTAGTGTGCTGTTAAAATGCTATACTTAAATGCAAATGTGTTGTGGGAATATCATTTTCCTTTGTAGAGATATAACAGCTGAATGTTTATGTTGTGGGGAATACACAGCAAGGATACAGTGACAAGGAGAGGCTGCTCTTGGATAATTGTACCTTCCAAGGAGACACCAAAGGCAAAATTCAATACAACTTGCTAGTCTAGTAAGCTATGTAGGTGAAATACATCCCTGGCAAATAAGATATACACTTTCATTGGCCTTACACCGGAAGATATATATTGCTTGGTATCCAAAGGGACATTACTTTTGTGGGTCCCATACACAACCCATTTGCTTTACTGAACAAGATGCAGCTGATTAGTACCATACTTTTGCTTTGTAGTTGAAACTTTAAGTTGCATCAAATTTGGATCAATTTCAATATAAATCAGTTGATTTGCTTTTTGTT